GAACCCGCAGGCTCAGGCAATCCACTCACTTCAGCCTCCCAAAGGCACGGGATTACAGGCTGAGCCACCGAGCCCGGCTCTTTTTTGTATTCCTCAGCCAGTAGCTCAGACACAGAGACACACACTGTCTGTGACAAGGCAGTTTTTCAGGCATTTCCTCAGACTCATTTTGGAAGCAGGGGCTCTGGTGACTGTGAAGCTGAGTGTGGCGCTCACCTTGACACTCCTGTGCTGTGTCAGAGATGCCAGTTCTACTTATTGCCTACCTCACTGCCATGTTGTGGTATCTGAGGAACTGAAAGGCCTAAGCCATTAACAACTCTCTAAAAGGCCAGGCATTATTCTTGTACTAATTCAGGAGATCTTCATGCTAAAATCTACCTCTAACCTGCAATGAGCAGAAATAGATGTTACCTGGCCACAAAGCTGGCAGTCTTGTCAACGATATTTCTGACCTCTGGAGGAGGGTAAATGATCCCCACAACTGGCTTGGAAGGTGTAGAATCCTCCTTTGAAGATGCTTCTTCTTCTGTGGGCTGAAAAACAGGAAAAGGAAATAAAGTCTGGAAGTCTCTGGTTTGGGGCAGTTTCCCTACCGTTAAGCTCCTCTAGTATACTGAGAGTACAGACGATCACCCAGACTGCCTTCAAGTCTTAAGTGCACTGTACTTGCATGGGCCATTCCTAGGGAACCAGGGAAAAGGGCAGCCTCTCTGACAGTCCCCTAGTTAAACTATCTTAGTGGGATGAGGAGTCTGCATTTCTACCAAGTACCCAGATAATTTAGAAGCAGGGGCTCAGACTACATTCAAAGAAACCATGTTCAAGAATCCAGAAGGCAGCCGGGCTCGGTGGCTCAGCCTGTAATCCCGCGCCTTGGGAGGCTGAGATGAGTGGATTGCCTGAGCCCATGGGTTCGAGATCTGCCTGGGCAACTTGGCGAGACCTCATCTCTACAATAAATCAAAAATCAGCTGGGCATGGTAGTGCGCGCCTGTAGTTCCAGCTACTTGGAAGGCTGAGGCGGAAGGATCGCTGGAACCCAGCAGTCGAGGCTGCGGTGGCCGGGAGCAGCCACTGCACTCCAGTCTGGGCGACAGAGTGAGACTCCAACTCAAAAAAAAAAGAATCCAGAAGGCCATGCCCGTAACTCTACACCCAGTGCTGTGCCTGGCATGGAATATTTCATGATTGTTTCCTAAATAATGAAATGGGAAGTTCCTTCCTAGCAGCTCTTTCTGCCTTGAATGCTCTTTCCTTCTGCATCCATTCCACAGTCTTAGCCACCATTCAATGCTCAAATGGTTTGTGAAACTCTATTGGAATATTCAACATTAATTGTCCCATAAGTTTCAATCTTCTTTCCCTAGCAGCTGCTTTTCTTTAGTAAACAAAAAGTCAAGTCTCTCATTTTAGAAAAATGAAGCTTCTTTCCTGCCTTCACGTTTCCTTGTGCTTGCTGCCTTCTCCCTCCCCTTCCTCCGGTGACTAGCCATCCTGAGTTCTCCTCAGTCTTGCCAGTCTCATTTCCTCACCTCTTATTTGGTTCCCATTCATTTTAAGTGCTCTTGCCAAAGTCAAAAACGACCAACCACAGCCAACTACAGCCTTTATCTGGGCATAACTGTGGATCACTCCTTCATAAAACTCTCTACTCAACTCCCAAACCTCATTCTCATCTGTCTTTCCTTCTTGCTAACCATTCCTTCCAAGTTTCTTTCCTTCCTTCAAGTTCTTTACACTATGGTTCATCAGGTGTTTACAATCACATCCTCCACCTCCCCTATCACCTCCATGCCAAACAATCCCACACACATCAATATCCCAGATCACGACTGTATGCCACAGAATTATAGATCCAGTGGACTCCTGGGCACTTTCATCTCTAATCTCTTTCCTTATGAGTGGTTATCCAGTCATCCAGGCCAGAAACTTGGATCTCCTTTTGCTTCCTCAGCCTCCACACTCAATGATAATAATAACATTTATTTACTTATTTATTTTTGAGTTGGAGTCTCACTGTGTTGCCCAGGCTGGAGTGCAGTGGCATGCTCACGGCCACCGCAGCCTTGACCTGCTGGGCTCTGGCGATTCTTCCTCCTCAGCCTTCCAAGTAGCTGTAACTACAGGTGCGCACTCCCATGTCTGGCGAATTTTTGATTTATTGTAGAGATGCGGTCTCACCAAATTGCCCGGGCTGGTGTCAAACCCATGGGCTCAGGCAATCCACTCAGCTTGGACTCCCAAAGTGCTGGAATTACAGGCTGAGCCGTCGAGCCTGGCCTAATTTTTTGATTTATTGTAGAGATGAGGTCTCATCAAGTTGCCCAGATGGTCTCAAACCCATGGGCTCAGGCAATCCTCTCACTTGAGCCTCCCAAAGTGCTGAGATTATAGGCATGAGCCACTATACTCGGCCTATAATAACTTTTATTAAGCACAGAGTAGGTCCCAGATACTTTCCTGAGCATTTTAAATATATTAACTCTTGCCAGGCATGGTGGCTCATGCTTGTAATCCCAGCACTTCTGGAGGCCAAGAGGGAGGATTGCTTGAGCCCAGAAGTTTAAGACCAGTGTAGGCAATATAGTGAGACCTCAGCTCTACAAAAATAAAAAAATTAGCCAGGCATCACGGCGCACGCCTGTAGTTCCAGCCAGCCCTTAAACAGCGCTCAATCAGATGAGTGGGAAGAATAATTGTAGTATGGAGTGATATGCTCTATGATGGAAGTTTCAGGTACAAAGCAGAAACTGAGACTGAAGCGTGAGAATCCCTGAATCCACGAGGTTAAGGCTGCAGTGAGCTGTGATCATGTCACTGCACTCCAGCCTGGTGACAGAGTGAGACTTTGACTCAAAAAATATATATATTCTCCCGCGCCTTGGAAGGCTGAGGTGAGTGGATTGCCTGAGCCCGCGGG